TTCACATGGAGTGGTATGTGTGTGACACCAGTATGTAAGAAGAAACACTTGCTTTTTTTAAAAAAAGAAATAATAGTCAAGGTGCATAACACCAAAGAGAAGGAAAACACTAAAAATCAGAGGGAAAAAAAAGAGATAATTTACAGAGATGACAGCAAAACTTCCACAGCTTGAGGAGAGCCAAAAATAATGAAATAAATCTTAACAGACCTGGGAGAAATTGTCATGTAAGCAAGAAGTCAATACTTACCTACCTAACACGCCTTTAACAAAAAAGAGTGAATTAATACAGTTTCAAAAGAGTAAACACTGAATAATTTGGTTACCAACAGGAACTAAGAGTGTACTTCAAAAAGAAAGGGGTGTGTGTGTGTGTGTGCGTGTAAGCTGAAAAATGAAAGAGTAAGAGACATGATTTGGGAGTATCAAATCCTGGTGGGCATTGAACTCAAGAAACCATGTAGGCCAGGTGCAGTGGCTAACACCCGTAATCCCAGCACTTTGGGAGACCAAGGCAGGCAGATCGCTCGAGTCCAGGAGTTTGAGACCAGCCTGGACAAAACGGCAAAACCTTGTCTCTACAAAAAATACGAAAATTAGCCAGACGTGATGGCATGTTCCTGCTGTCCCAGCTACTTGGAAGGTTGAGATGGGAGGATCAGCTGACCTGGAGGAGGTGGAAGCTACAGTGAGCTGAGATCACACCACTGCCCTCCAGCCTGGGTGACAAAGTGAGACCCTGTCTCAAAAATAAAAATAAATAAAAGATAAAGAAGGTGACATGAAGAAACTAAGAAGAATGAAGAAGACTGCATCAGTGGATTAGATGTAGAAGACTGACTATGCTGTCATAAATTTATATTAATATCATTAAAGAATAATTAGTACAACTTAACGCACATTGATTTGGAAAGCAAAATGATATGAAATTTTTCTGGCGAAAAACATATATAGTTCTTCCCAATATAGACCCCTGTTTAGAAGTCTAAACAGAATAACATCCACAGGAGTAGAGAAGTTTATAAAAGAAGTGCTCACAAATAAAGTTCCGGGATCAAGTCGTTTAACAGGGAGATTCTACAGTCTTTTCAAATAACACATAAATCAATGCTTCTAACTCAATTTAAGAATATTACAATGGAAGTATTACCTCCAAATAGGTTATGAAGATCAAACGGAACATTGGTACCCAATATTTCCAAATGTTGTACAAAATAGAATAATACAGAAAAATCTCATTTCTGCCTACACACAGATATATGTAAGATAAAATACTAGCACATTCCAATTTATTATTAAAAACAACACATAATGACAAAATGCAATTTATACCTAGAATTCTAGAGTGATTAAATATTTGGAAGTCAACTGATAAAGTTCATCATTTTTATAGAGATAAATAGAACAGTCCCTTGATCATGTCTGCATATGCAAAAATGTCTAGCAGAATTTAGCATGTGTTGCTGTTAATTTAAAACCATCCGCCGGGCGCGGTGGCTCAAGCCTGTAATCCCAGCACTTTGGGAGCTGAGACGGGCGGATCACGAGGTCAGGAGATCGAGACCATCCTGGCTAACACGGTGAAACACCGTTTCTACTAAAAATACAAAAAACAGCCGGGTGAGGTGGCGGCGCCTGTAGTCCCAGCTACTCGGGAGGCTGAGGCAGGAGAATGGCGTGAACCTGGGAGGCGGAGCTTGCAGTGAGCTGAGATCCGGCCACTGCACTCCAGCCTGGGCGGCAGAGCGAGACTCCGTCTCAAAAAAAAAAAAAAGAGAAAAAAATTATAATAATAATATTATATCGATTGTAAGGTCCTCTGAGCAGGCTGCGCCATGGTCAAGCCATTGTGACCCCTATGACCCACATGTATACACTCAGAAGGTCTCCGGAGCCAGAAAGTCTGGGACAACAGGAAAACCACAAAGGAAGAAAAACGGCTAGTTTCTGTCTTAACTGATTAGCCAACCTCGCAGCATTCGACCATTGTGACGTGCACTACCCTAACTGATCAATCAGCCTAGTGACACTGTGACCCCTCCCTCTTGTGACAATGTACCTTGTGACATTCTTCCCCTGCCCGCAATAAACGGCCCCGAACTGTAACTTTCCATTGCTGACCCCTCACCTATAAAACTAACTCCAATCCCACGACCCTCCGCTGACCCTCTTTTCGGACTCAGCCCGCTCGCACCCCAGTGAATAAACTAGCCTTGTCGCTCACACTTAACCTGTTTGGGTAGTCTCTTCAATTAGGCGCGAGCTTAACATCGATCATAGATTGAAACAATATTTTTTGCTATATTTGGTTAAATAAATCATTGTAATCAATTTCACGTTTTTTTCTTTTCTATTGCTACTAGAACACACGTGGCTCACATTTTATTTCTATTGGGCATTGCTACCTGAGAGGACGTTCTCTTTTCAAAATTCAAGCTGCCTCTAATCCCACTAGAAACAAGAAAAAAAAAATTCAGGCTGCCTCCTCAAAAGATCAGAGGCCAGGAAGGTTGTGAAATCTGAAATTTTAGAATAATTGTCATCATAGTGTTTCCAATCATAAATATCACAACTACTACTCATAAACGGACATAACCTTGCGTACAAGGTTGAATGGGAAAGTCCCCCAGGGGGCGCCAGGTCTCAGCACGGGGCAGAATCCACGCCTTGGAAAAGGACTGCACGGAAAGAACGGGCCTCACTCCGCGCCTTGTCTGCTGGCAGCTCCGGTCACTCAGGGCTGAAGGGGCGGGGCCTAAAGCCCTGTCCAATCGGGCGCTGGGAAGGGGACTGTTCTCTCAAGCGCACGGCGAAAGGAGGGGGCAACTTCCGGGCCCTGGCGGGGCTTTTGTGTTGGGCAGCGAGACTCTGGCGAGCTCGGTGTGTCTCCGCCGCTCCTTCCCCTTATCCCTGGGAGGTCCAAGTGGTTCTGCCGCAGCTTCTGTGGCTCTGGGACCTGCAGGTCCTGGAAGGGCCTTAGGGAAGACCCGAGACACCGGAGAGTGGGAAATGGTGAGTGTCCCCGCCAGTGTCTCGAGGGGGAAGCGGGAACCGGCAGGAAGCGGTTGTGGCGAACCCGGACCTCCCCGCGGTGCCGACCCGAGTTTCCGCTGTCGCCTCGCGGCGTTAGTGGCACAGGATGGGGGGCTGGACCCGCAGCCGGACCCCGGGCCGCCTGGCTTGTCCCTGCCCCGCCGCCTCGGCCCGCCCCGGAACTTCTCTGGGCAGCTCTGCGCCTGCAGACCCGCGTCCCCCTCGGAGCGTGCGGAGCCGACGGGAGGGTCCTCAGGGGCGAGTCCGGACTTGGGGTTCGGGGTTCCTGCGTGGGAGGAGCTGTGGTCGGTGAAGTCTCCAAAACCTCCTTTCTCCTGTTAGAAATAAAACTGAGGCGCCGTTAAAATATTAAAGAGTTTATTTGAGCAGAGAGTCGTGAGTTAGGAAGCCGCCCAGCGTGGTTTGTGGTTTGGGGAAGGAAGGGCTTTTATAAGGAACCCAGAAGCAAACCCAATTAAATGGTTGATTGTGTACAGTTGTGTAGTCACCCCACATAGACTGTGCAGCCAGGTATCTCCTGGTTATGTCATCAGAGGTTAATTGGTGGGTTCGTGGTTGTTTAAGGCTGTTTTGTTTGCCTTTAAGTTATTAATTTACAAGACAAACATGAGTTACGCTTTGGTTGGTTGGTTATTCATTCATGTGTGTATGTACATATGTATGATGGAGTCTCGGACTCGGGCTGAAGCGATCCTCCCACCTCAGTCTCCCTGGTACCTGTGTTTAATTATTTTAACATAACACTCCACATTTCTAAGCGTATGGAAAGCAGGATCTCACATCAACGACCGTGTTCCCACAGCCCAACTCTTCTGGGGCTTGTAGTAAAATCCTCAATTTCCAATTCTTTTCCTGCATTCAAATGCAACATTATCAAGTATTTGTCTTTTATTGTACATTTCATACAGATGCAGTGTTTTTTTTTTTTTTTCGGGTTGTTGGTTGTTTTGAAAATATTTGTTTTCACTCTTAAAATATTTCTGAACGTTACACATGAGTGGAAAGCAGATAATAATCACCTGACAATTGTTAAAAAAAAAAAAAAGTCTTTGTGCATCTCCTAGTTTTACCTTTTTTGAGTGTGCACATCTTACCAGAATGTCTTTGGGGTGAAGTTCCCCTTTGGAAACGTTAGAGGGTGATATGTCCTCAGCCACCCTCATATCTTTTCTTGGTCCTCTGTTTAGCGGCCAGAGCTCTTGGAGTGTCTAATGAATACCTTCTTCTGGGTCATCTCCTCCCAGAGGACAGTTTAAAATATGGGAGTAGAGCCTCTCTAGGCAGCATCTGGGTGCCCTGGAGCTGAGAGACGTCTCCTAGTATACTCTTCGTTTAAAATACAAGTCCCTGGTGCATTAGGATTTTCTTCCTCCAGCCCCAGTTTTCATCGTTCCTTGGAGACATGTTGTTAGGCAGCCAATCAGACGCTGGTATTAAGGGAAAAAGCTAGAAATGATTCCTGCCCTCTGGATTTTCTCGGACTTGGAAAAGGAGAAAAACGATCTCAAAGGACAAGGAATGCCACCCTCCCCCAGTGAGGTGGTGCAAGAACCAGAAAAGCACCATCATCAGAATTATATAAGAAGGGAGTTTGCTGGACGTGACCCACGCCTGTAATCTCAGCATTTTGGGAGGCCAAGGGGGGTGGATCACTTGAGGTCAGGAGTTGGAGACCAGCCTTGCCAGTGTCGCAAAACACACTGTCTCTACTAAAAATACAAAAATTAGCTCAGTCTGGCGGTGCATGCCTGTAATCCCAGCTACCTGGGATGCTGAGGCAGGAGAATCGCTTGAGGCCAGGAGGTGGAGGTTGCAATGAGCTGAGATGGTGCCACTGCACTCCAGCCTTTGAGACAGAGCGAGACTCAGTCTCAAAAGAAAAAAAGGGAGTTTATTCTAAAGTATTGCAATGGGGGGAAAAACACCAGGTATAAGAGCTGCAAGCATGTTAAGTTTAGGCAGAAAAGGGCTTAGAAATTCAGGCACACAGGCCAGGTGCGGTGGCTCACGCCTGTAATCCCAGCACTTTGGGAGGCCGAGGCGGGTGGATCACGAGGTCAGGAGATCGAGACCATCCTGGCTAACACGGTGAAACCCCGTCTCTACTAAAAATACAAAAAATTAGCCAGGCGTGGTGGTGGCGCCTGTAGTCCCAGCTACTCTGGCAGGAGAATGGTGTGAACCCCGGAGGTGGAGCTTGCAGTGAGCCAAGATCACGCCACTGCACTCCAGCCTGGGCGACAGAGCAAGACTCCCTCTCAAACAAAACAAAAAAAATTCAAGCACATAATGGGGCACAGTACAGTGTCTCCTGGGAGGATGATCATTGAGTATTTCTGTGAGGAGAATGGGCCTGTGAGGGTCTCTGAAGTGGTACAGTGTCCTGACTTGACACTTGACCCGGAGATGTCTATGTTCTGTCAGCCTGACCCCTCCGAGTTTATTGCCTTGAAAAGATTTATTCACTTAGTTCAGTTTCAGTTTTTCGTTAACTTTAAAATGTTTTATTCATAGAGCTTGAAAGATTTAAAAAAATTATTTCCAAAGAGACAAGAAAGAGGTGGATTTCAGTGGGAGAAAAATCTATTCATATTCCATTTGTTAAAAATTCTTGTTGCTGGTCGCGGTGGCTCAAGCCTGTAATCCCAGCACTTTGGGAGGCCGAGATGGGCGGATCACGAGGTCAGGAGATCGAGACCATCCTGGCTAACACGGGGAAACCCTGTCTCCACTAAAAAATACAAAAAACTAGCCGGGGCAACGTGTCGGGCGCCTGTAGTCCCAGCTACTCGGGAGGCTGAGGCAGGAGAATGGTGTGAACCCAGGAGGTGGAGCTTGCAGTGAGCGGAGATCACGCCACTGCACTCCAGCCTGGGCGACAGAGAGACACTCCGTCTCAAAAAAAAAAAAAAAAAATTCTTGTTAACCTTTTTCTTCCCAAGAGTGAGTGTAGTAAGTTTCTCAAGTCTGTTCTTTTTTGAGGGAGATTTGAAAGGGAATTCTAGGGCTTTGCTTTGGGAATGTGTATTAGTTTGTTTTCATGCTGCTGATAAAGACATACCTGAGACTGGGCAATTTATAAGAGAAAGAGATTTAAAGGACTTACTGTTCCACATGGCTGGGGAAGCCTCACAATCATGTGGAAGGCAAGGAGGAGCAAGTCACATCTTACACGTGGATGGCGACAGGCAGAGAGAGAGCGAGCTTGTGCAGGGAAACTCCAGTTTTTAAAACCATCAGATCTCATGAAACTTATTCGCTATCACAAGAACAGCATGGGAAAGACCTGCCCCCATGATTAAGTTACCTCCCACCAGGTTCCTCCCACATGTGGGAATGGTGGGAGTTACAATTCAAGATGAGATTTGAGTGGGACACAGCCAAACTGTATCAAAATGTTACCAGGGAAAAACATGAAAAATCTCTTTTCCATTATGGCTGCAGAAAAATGATTACGTTTTCACAAGCAAGTGTTGTAGATAAATTGGTGAATTACAAATATTTATCAAAACATCAGTACCTCCCTTCTTTTTGCAGGGTGGAGAATTTATAACAGTGGATAACCCTGTTCTGTATCTTGTTATCTGGGAGTTGGAGTTTAATGCTAAGTTTTATGGGATAGGACTTGGCAACTCCTGGAGATGATTTGTTGTCATGGAAATAATAAATAAATGACATATTTATTGTATGATAGGGATAGATACTTTGGCTTTTCCAGTTGAGGTATTAAATGTAAGTGCCTCACAATTTCCTCCCCTCCTATAAACATGAACACTGAGTTTGAGTTATTTTTCTGGATTCTTCAAATATTATTTTTTGAAAACTTCAACCAACCAAATAACCTTGACTGAGAAACAGAAGCTTGAGCTCAGTGACTGCCAGCGAAGGCCAGTCTGAAGCCTGCAAAAAGAAGATCATGGAAGGCCTACTCAGTTCTTCCTTGGGAGCCTCTGCCTTTACAGATGTCCCAGCCTGCTCACCCCAGCCATGAAAGGAGCTTGTTATATTGAGAGAAGCTACAGAGTTCTGGAAATCTGGTGTTCACAGGTGGATGTGGTTGGGCCTGGATGGAAAGGATGGGATCCCCTTTTTAAGGGTGTAATTTTCATTGTCCTGGCATTCTTTCTAGACATGATTCAATAAAGCAGGGGTCTCCAACCCCTGGGCCATGGACCAGTACCAGTCGGTGGCCTGTTAGGATCCAGGCCATGCAGCAGGAGGTGAGCAGCAGGTGAGCAAACATTACCACCTGAGCTGCTTCCCCTGTCAGATCAGTGGTGGCTTTAGAGTCTCAGAGGAGCATGAACCCTATTGTGAGCTGTGCATGGGAGGGATCTGGGTTGTGTGCTCCTTATGAGAATCTAATGCCTGATGATCTGAGGTAGAACAGTGTGGTCCTGAAACTATCCCCACCATCTGTGGAAAAACTGTCTTCTATGAAACTGGTCCCTGATGCCAGAAAGGTGGGGAACTGCTGCAATAAAGTAAATTCAGAATTATATGAGAAGGGAGTTTGTTCTGAAGTATCGCAATGAGGAAAAACCACGTATAACAGCGGCAAGCATGTTAAAGATTAGGCAAAAAAGGGCTTTCTTAGGAAGGAGCAAACTAGATTAGAAAAAAAGCGGAGAAGAAGAGGGCCAGATGGATTCTAGATCAGAGAACATTTCACCCTGAGGTCAGCCTGTCAGCCTGTTCACAGGAGAGGAATAAAACAGGGTTGTATGTTGACTCAGACTGAGGGTGTATCAGAGTTCAGGGGCCTGAGGGAAGGAGGGAAACTTAAGTAAAATTTGGTTAACAAGTATTTTGTTCTGACCACTGAAGACAAATTTAGTCAGCTAATTAGTTAAGAGGCAAAAAAAAAAAAAAAATTGTCTGTTTCTGGCTTTATTATACGTAAAGGAAGCATCATCTAAGTCATAATGAGAAGGTGTTTGTTTTCACTAAGCTGTTCC